GGGTTTAGGGTTTAGGGATCAGGGTCAATAATTCAGAAGAAGACTGATGATGATAGTCATGATAATGATTATGACCAGTATAACACTGCCAGCAGGAGTAAGGTTGTAATGGGGTTTTCGGATAAAGTAGGTGGCTAGAAATGAATGATCATGGCCCTTGTTGTCCCTATACGTAAGTATATACAGTTATATGATGCTCTAACATGCCCTCCAAACCGTTAAGGCCGTAGGCTTGTTATTTAGGTTTGTGCATTGGGGTCTTGGATGGCTTTCGGCCAGGGTCGTCTTCAGAGTTGCCGACAAGCAGCTGTGCTTGGAGGTTCATAGGTAGTTGTAAATAGGCAGACAAGTCCGCCAATATGGATTACAAGTATAGCTACCCTACTTTTACCCCCACCTTACAACTATCCATGAACCTCCAACCTAAACTCTAAACATTAAACCCCAAGTAGGATCGTTTAGGGCTTTCTTTGAAGGATGAGCCTCTGGGCTCATCTTGTAGAAGGCCTGCTGAAACCTGCTTCGGATGCTTCGGAAGCGCTTTCGGTTTAGGGTCGAGGGTTCAGGGTTTAGGGTTTGGGGATCCCCCCCCCAAACGGAGTATTTTCAGGACAGGTTTAAGGAAATTGCCTTCAGGAATCCCCAGAAAAGTAGGTTTCGTCTGTGGTTCAGGGTTTGAACGGTTCTAAAGTCTACCTGTGACCCAAACTACCAATATATATATATATATATATCTTCACGGGGTCTCCGGTCCTCACCATGAAATCCCGAGCTTTAACCTTCGGGACCTAAGGTTTAGGGTTTCGGGTTTAATTCGGGTGGGTCAGAGCTCTAGCCATGTGGGGCACACTATAAACCCCCAAAACTCGTAAGCACCTCGTATTTCCAAACCCTAAACACTTCACGCACGTCGCGCTCCTGCACATCGATGCCCCTCTCGCCGCAGCCATGCAGCCTTTCTAGGGTCGAGTCTGAGAGCAACTAAGAAATACCAGAAGTCTCCGGTGTAATTCCTCTTTGAGGCTACATTCTAGTATCCTAAAGATGACATTGGATAAACCGAATGAAGTCCTATGAAACTGTGGTATGATGCCTAAAGCCGCACAGAATCTAAGGAAAGTTCCTTAGATGCTAAGACGTGCCCATGGATCATCCCCAATGCAAACCTCTCATATCATTCTTTTCGCGTAAGGGGACTTATGTAGCGGTGAAGCATCCCAGATCCTTGCTGAAAACTTGAAAGCTGAGATGCATGATCCTCAGAGCCGACCCAACTACTAACCCGGGGGTCGTTCTAAAGGGGGGGCTAGTCTGTACAGTACTGATTGTCTTCTTCATCTCTTTCCGACAGGAAGCCACCAAAACACCATCAACCAAAAACTGCCAAATCTCAAAGCCCTAACACCCAAATTGCCCCAAAATCGTAAATCCGCAAGCTACTATAGTTATGATAAGGAACCCCCGAAATAGCATGGGTAATTATGAAGGCCTCTATATTATACTCCGCCGGGAGCCCTGACCCAATGCCGGGAGGCCCGACAACGCCCGCCCTGCCGCGTCGTCGCCCACAGCTCCCAGCAGCGCAACGGAGCTCCCCAGCCTAGCGGCCTCAGAGCTTCAGGCTTTTAGGACTTGTAGGGTTTAGGGTTTAGGTTTTAGGGTTTAGGGTTTGGGGGTTTAGGGTTTAGGGTTTAGGCGATTTAGAGGTCTAAGCATTTCTATGATCAGTATGAAGGCTTCTGGCAAGGAGTTGAGATCTGCCTGTGGTCCTGGAGTTTTTTGTCAGTTTTTAGGCTCTTCCTGCGGCAGGAAACTTAAAGGTCCGGGGACCTAGGGGAGAATGTAGGGGCCTTAGCAATTTGAGTAGGGTTTTGGGCCCCATCATACTACAAATATAAAAAGGAACTCCCAAAATAGTATTGGTAATTGTTGAGGCCCCTACACTATACGGTTTAGGTTACGGTTCCCATGAACGGTTTCCAGCCAGATCACTGGGGAGCTGTGCAATTTGGGGCATCTTCAACTCTGAAGGATCCGGGGCAACTTGCGAACATGTGCATATAGGACCTCCGAAGTCTGGAAGCCACAAGTGTGACAGTGTGTCATATGCTTCCACTCTTGCCACGGTCAGATGCCCTAAACCCTAAGCTCCTCAACCTAAACCCTGAACCCCAAACCCTCAACCCTAAACCCTGAACCCGAAACCCTAAACCACTGAAAACAAAAACCCTAAACTTCGACAGCAACCGCCTTCAGGGCACCCAATAACGACAATATCGTATAACGTATAGGGACTCGCTCTTGCAAACACGAAACCCGACATTGCCCTAAGCTGTCGCAACAAACTTCTAGAGACCCTGAGTTGCAGAATCACGAGCACTGCGCCCCTAAGCCCAAACACGGTCAGAAACTCCCAAACCCCTCTGACTCAACCAAACCCATAGCCCAAAACCCCAAACCCCAAACCCCAAACCCTGAAAAGCCCCAAGAAGGGACCCTCTGAAGGCCCGACCACGAGACCGTAACAGCAAACATATGGGTAGCTCTCTGAATTAGGGGCCCTCTGCATCCTTATAAAGAAGGACCCTGAAAGGGACCCTAGTTTAGAGAAGTAGCCATACAGCAACCCTTATCCAAAGCCTATAGAAGTAACCACCCAGACCAGAAGGCAGATAGCGGGGAAGCTGCCACCTCTGCAATGTTTCGGCCCACGCCCCCGGGCCTTACTTGGAGATTGCTGAGGGATGCAGCCTGCTACTTTGGGCTTAGGGCTCAGGGCCGGGGGGCTGCGGTTTAGGGGGGTTGCTAGCCTGCAGTCAGAGGCATTTCGGGTGTTTATGGGTTTTGTGGTTTGGGTTCTATCCAATTGTGCAGCATTTGTTGGGTTTGGAGACCTGTATCAGCAGCAGGGTCGCTGCAACGATGACCCTTACTCTTACACTTATGATTCCTCGTATCCCTCTTCTTCTTGCTGCTACTACTACTACTACT